CGCAATGCAGCCCTTGGGAGCCCGGGAGAGGACGTCATCGGGACCCGGTGCCACCACGATGGCCGAGGGGCCCACATGTAACTGAGTGACATAGAGATCCGCCGCATCAGCTTTCGACCTTATCTCTAAGGCGGCGGTATTCAAGTAGGAGTACCCCTCGGGCATATCGAGGGGCTTCCCTTGGTCTGCGACGCTGCCCTTCTTCTTGGAAGCAGCGACCTTCGCCTTCTTTTTTTCCGGGGGCCACCCGGATGGGAACCGCGTTCAGCGGCCGAGAGGTGCTGGCCTCATCAGTTCCCCGAGGGGGGAGAACAGCGACGGTGACCCTCGCCCCCTCTTTCTGCGCCTCTTCCTCATCTACTTGCCAGGCGAGGGCCAACTTTTCATCTTCACACTCTTGTTCGAAGCCCTCGGCTTCCGCCTCAGCAACGAGGGCTTTCTGCAGCTCCATGGCGACGACAGCATCTTGTCCCACCGAGGGCTGTTCGCTTGTGGACTCCACGTCCGAGATGACTTCATCCTCCATCGAGGGCGCCCCCGAGATGTCTTGAGAGTCTCTTTGCGAAGACATCGTCCATGCTATTTCGAGGGCTCAAATACGCTAAGTGCTCTGAGCTAGGATTCCTAAGTGTAAGTCCTAAGGCCGCTAAGTACAGCTAGGTGACAAGGATGGAGGACAAGTAAGGAACTGACCTTGTAACGGAAGATAGATCGAAGGCGGCTGTTTCTCTCTCTAGGAATTTGGGCAGAGCTTCGCTACAATGATATCGCACAAGGGGAAGTGAAGCCGGCCATGGGGTATTTATAGGCGCTGGGATCCGGGCTTGGACCTGGAAACCGGGCCTCCGGTTGGACTGCCATCATTACAAACCGTGGTTTCGCCCAATCGGTAACGCCCGCCCACGGGCAGCCAACGAGCACACACCACGTGGTAACCCCCCCCCCCCCCCCCCCACGGCTATATTCTGACGTTAGATATTCCAGCGGCTATATTTCCAACGGCTATATTCTGGGAGCTCCCGGCTACACTTGACAGACCACTCCTTCATCAACCAAGGGACTAGCCCCTGGGCTTTTTGCTTCACTCCGCTTCATCAAGAAGAGCCCCGGGTACACTTACCCAGAGACGCTCCCGGTTTGTGGCCCCACACATTACATAACAGATGCCTTCGGGCTCACTCTTTCAGAAGCCCACGGCTTCATAACAGGCCCACCCCTCGGGGATCCCCCCTCAGCACCTTAAGGGCCGGGTAGCCCCCGGGGAATACGCCTCATTGACAGACAGCCTACGGCACGCAGGTAACGGGAGCCCCCAGATACCCTCCTCACCAACTAATCAACAAACAGGGGACACCTCGGTAGCACTTCAACTACTACTCGCATTCATTACGCCCTCGATCTCTAGATTGAGGGACTCCCCTTCGGCACCTCCCAGGATATCGACAGCAAGCCTCCGGCTAATCAACACATGAGCCCTCAGGACAAGGATAGCCTTCGGCATCAGCATTGTACTCCATTTCAGACCAGGGCTTCACGTTTTCGATTCATCATTGGGGGAATTCGGTGCACTCTTTTTCCCTCATTAGGATTTTTTCCCACAGGGTTTTTCCTAATGAGGTTTTTAACGAGGCATCCCCCCAAAATGAAACGAAAAGCGTCAGCCTTCGGCCCAAAACAGCAACGCAACTACTCTACTCCTTTTCACCACTTTGCAAGTGCCTCAAGTAGTGGGGGACTGGAGGACCCCCTCGGGAAAAATCACAAAAATCACGAACATGACCCCTCAAGTCCCGACATGTGGGTAACTGAGGGACTGCCCTCGGAATAATGAAGAAACAGCAAACTACCCACAACTCTACAAACTACAAACGGAACAACGGCAGAGGACAAACACAATTACTCCTTTTCCCTCAAGTACCTTTCGGCAAAAGGAGTGAGGGACTCCTGATGGAGTATATGGCCCGGGAACCCCCGGCCCACAGACTCCTACTCCTCCAATAAAGGCCCAACAGGCCCAGAAAGCACAACAGGCCCAAATCACAGCGCCCAGAGTACCAAGCAGCCCACAATATGCACCAGAGGTGCCTTCGGCCCCCTAGCCGAAGGCTCTAATTCTCACAGGAGGGCCAAGACATGAAAACAAAGTTACTGGGAAAAACAACGAAAATCAGTAGCCCTCGGCAACTGGAGCCCTCGGCACTTAGGGGGTCCCCGGTACTCAGAGCCCTCGGCTAGTCATCTACTACCGGGGGTGCCTTTTCCGACATAATATCTGCTCCACATGCGTATGGATCACCGTACCCTGTACAACGTCCCATCCAACAGCCGCATTAAATGCGGCCACATGCGGTTGCCAACGCCAACCAGCTGAGGTGACCTCTCGGCCAATGGACGCCTGACACGTGTCCCTGTCTGGCATTTATTGCTACTATAAATAACACCCCATTTCCCCGTTGTAAACCACGCTAAAAACATTGAACACTTTCCAATATACTTTCTCTCTCTATACTTACTTGCTCTGACTTCTCTCTAGTTATTCTCCGTAATAACCCCTCGGATAAGCTACCCCCTGGGTACACTATCCATCACCGTGTATAGGAGAAGACATGATCGGAGAACCGTTTCAAAAATTGGTGTGGAGTTGGATAACAGATATGTGGTGCCTCATAATAGATATTTATTGCTCAAATATGCATCACATATGAATGTGGAGTGGTGCAATGAGTCTAGATCTATAAAATATTTATTCAAATATGTGAATAAAGGAGATGATAGAATAACTGCAACAGTCTACCAAAGTGCGAATGGAGAACATGCGGAGAATGATGTAGATGAAGTCAAGATGTATTTTGATTGCAGATACATTTCATCATGTGAGGCTGCATGGAGATCTTTAAGATTTGAAATTCAGTACATAAGTGATGGGGTGGAGAGATTAGCTTTCACTTGCCTAATAAACAAGTTGTTTATTTTAATGACTTAGAACCCATAAACGAAGTTCTTGAGAAGCCAAGTGTGAAAGAAAGCATGTTTCTTGCTTGGTTCAGAGCAAGAAGGTACCCCTCGGGTACACTATCCATCACCTTCTTGGGGTGAATTATTCTTTCTTAGATGTCTGTTGAATGTTGTTCGTGGACCAACATGTTTTGAAGATATAAAGAAGGTTGATGGTGTCCAATATGACACATTTTGTGATGCCTTGTATGCTTTAGGTCTACTAAACGATGATAAGGAATATATAGATGCAATCAAAGAAGCAAGTTTTTTGGTCAACAACACGTTGTTTGCGTAAACTATTTTTTGCTCTATTAATTGTTGATTGTTTAAGTAGACCAGAGGAAGTTTGGGAAAAGTGTTGGGTATTTTTATCTGAAGATATCCTCCACAAACAACGTGTAATGCTTAATCATCCAGGTATATTTTTATATTATTTCGCACACATTCAAATTTTTATTATACAAATGTATTATTAGTTATAGTTTTTAATGTAGATCTCACATTATCGGGAGATTTGTGATAGAGTCCAATAGACGGGAGGATTGGTCTTTGCTTTCAAGAAAGTTCAGAAATCTGTTCTTCTAGACAGTGTATTCACCTCTACGGAGTATCGGTGGACTTGTGTTGTTACCAATCGATAAAGCGTTCGTGTTTGAAATGATTGGGCTGAGCAGTTGATTGACTAAGTGTTTCTGTTTTTGCTTAAGTACAGCTTCGCGCAATAGTTTCATGCACACACAGGTTCACGCAAGAGATGGTTCACGCACAGTAGCAGGATCGCGCACTAAGGTTCACACACGGAGAGGATTGCGCACTAACTTTCGCGCACATGAGCTTTCACGAACGGATGTTCGCGCACGAAGAGGTTTGCGCACGGAGGATTGTGCATAGTTGTTCGCGCACAAGTGACTTTCACGCACGGCAGTTTGTGCACAGGGAGTTGTTACGCACTAAGCTTTGCGCACAACTTTCTTGCAGGAGAAGAAGTTCGCGCACAAAGTTTGATGTATAGTGCTTATTGTGTTTCGCAACTTTGAAGTTTTCTTCTCCTTTTATTAGTCCGACTGAGTTTTTCTCTGGCTGAGGGTTTAGTCCCTTAAAATTGTGAACGTGTTTGGGTTTTGTGATCGTGAATTTCCTCGATTCTTTAGCTCTGTCTTGGATCTAGTGTTTACTTGGTTGGCCATTAATAGAAGAGGTCAAATAAGGTGATGTTGTGAATTTCTTATTATGTATGTTTGTATTTATAACTAGTTTTTATTATTTGTAGTTATGGAAATTATACACTTTTTGTGTAATACTTTATTATCATAATTATTTGTAATTTGTTTAGATTAAATTAGGACTATTCTGAGCGAAAACGGGTCAAAAATCATCCAAGGGATCAATATTGGATCTTAAAAGATCAAGGAAAGTGCAAGGAGGCAAGAAAGATATCGATTTAGAAAAATTGCTCTTATACCCGGTCGGGTATAAGCAATACCCGATCGGGTATTTGATTGATTCGGGTGTCTAAATCAAATATGGGAACAAATGTTCATGGGAGCAATATTTTGTGAAGATTTGTCACATACCCGATCGGGTATGCCGACATACCTGACCGAGTATGTCCTGAAAAGTAGCTTTCCAGGAAATTACCTCAGATACCCGATCAGGTATCCTATATACCCGGTCGGATATTAGATCATGCCACTTCCAAAAGCCTATAAATACACGTCTTTCCTTCCCAATAAAATCATCAACTCACATATACTCTTAAGCTCAGTTTAGAATAGGTATTTCTTTATATTTTCTAACATGTGTAGTCTCCAAATGAAGATGTAAACTTCCATTTCTTGATTCTGCTCTTGAAGCTGGTTGAATGTTAAAGTTGTGAGTTATTTTCTTACTTCTTCCATTGAATATTAATTTTTCCCTCATTTCCTCTCTCTTTAGATGATTTGATCGATCGGCTACACTTTTAGTGGCGTTGCCGTTGTAGTCTTCATAACTGAACGAAAGTTCTACTTGTAAGTTATGCATTGTACATATGGTCAATAAGTCAATAACATACATATTCACCAAGGAATTAAAGATGGTTAACTTAGCCAGGAGGGGTAGAAAGTCCACCATTCTACTCTAAATGGACGCAGATGCCACCTCGAGCGGGTAGGGGTAAGTATTAGCATACATGAAAGAGATCCAACCTCCGGAGGGGAGAGGCGCGCCGTCGTTGAGGAGGCAGTCATCATATCCGACACGGCGGAAGACGGACGGGTCGATCAGCCGGGCGGAGCTGAACCACCCGCAGTGGAGGTGGATGTTCGAAATGCTGCAGCTTTCGTCGTCACAGAGGTTCTCTATCACCACCGTGTAGGTTGGAATGCCATTGGGCATTGGCGCAGTTTGACGCTGGTCAACTTCTATATCATCGTCCGAGCAGCCGCATGCTCCCTCATCCATTCTATTCGTTGACTTTGACCCTAAACCCCAACCCGGACCCGAAGTGGAGTTTGATCCAAACCTTTTACCCAAGCCAGTGTTTTTGGTACCATTGTAATCTGTCGTTTATGAAGTACAAGATATTTACATAATAGAGAGTATATTAAAGAAAATAAAGGCAAGATGACTAAGTTAGGTGTTTTTAATTAGACTGAAATTTTCTAGTATGGTCTGGGTTTTTTTTGTCTGTTCTGGTTTAGTTTGTTCCGAACTCGACTGTTCTGATAAATGTCTGGTCTATGTGTATTTTATAATTATCCAAATATGATCTGATCTGATCTCGGACCGAAAAGAGTCCAAATAAAAACATTTTTACGCATACCGAGTATGATTTTAAAAAATCAGCCCATTAATTTTTTGGAGTACACCGCAATCGTTTATAAGAGGTTGAGAGATTTTTCATCAACATTACGAGTAAATCCCGTTTTGATGAAAAAAGATACTGCCTACCTCGTGTTTAAAAGTTTAGTACAATATATTTGGACACATTATTTAAAGATGAAAAAGTAGAGATAATGAATAGTGTATATATATTATGAAGTACAGTGAGAGAATGTGAAAAAGTGTGAAATAGAAGACGAAAAATAGAAAAAATAAGAATAATCGAGTGTTTTTATAAAAAAAACTCTATCATAAGAGAAAGTGTAGGATTTAAATTTTCTTTTTGTTTCCATATTCTAAATGCAAAAGAAAAAACATCGAGATGATAAATAGCATATATATATACCATGTAGGAGTAACAACTTCCTAGAAAGAGTGGGAATGAAACTTCCATTGGGAATGATGAGTTTTACTTTTCCAACTTCTTGAATGGCGCCTTCTTCATTCACTTTATCCCAAGCATCATAAATGGCCTTAATAACTGCATTATATATTATCATTCATTAACTGTCTTTTGGGTTCAAAAATCTCATGAATTATTACAGAGCTATTCAAGAATGAAAAGGAAAAGCGCATTTTTATTTCTCCCCATAAAGTTAGTAAAACAATATACGAAGTATTAATTAAAAATTAATACACTAGCTATTACATGCAAACACAATATACGAATTGAAGTACAAATTAAGTTATCAATTAAAATTTACTTATTTAATAATTATTCTTTTTGTTGAGAGGTAGGGAGAGGAGGCATGCAGGAGTGAGAGGGGACAAACTAGACGAACATAAATTAGAATCATAGAAAATGAGTACTTCTTGAATTATATGAAAGAATGATTTAAAGAGCTTGAAGTGAAAGGAGAGTATTTAAAATAGTGATCTTATTTTGTGTGTTTACCTATTTCTTTATTTATTGATTTTAGCTCTAATACCATATTTAGAATTATGTTAGTCTATCCACTCCATCCCAAATTTTTAGGAATCAGGCTAGGATATTTTTTTGTCATTGTATTTAATTTCCGAAATTAGCATGAATTTGTAAAAATAATTATTTGAAATGCATTAACTGAGAGCATAAGTTGAAAATGTGAGTTTTACTATGAACGGGAGGGGTACTTATATTAGAGTCCCTATGAATTAAAAATGACAAAAGTATCACCAAGATATAGGAAAAATTTGAAAATATGACAATGACTGTATTTCAACAGAGCAGTGAGTATTTTGGTGCTGAAAGTATCCATTTGGGAATATTTTTGTGATTACATATCTTACTAAAGAAAAATAATAAATCTGAATATGATAAAAAATAAATTTATAAATCTGAAATGATGCCGTTAATTAAAATGAATGAGGCAAATATAATTTTGAAAAACAAATACCAAAGAGTGAAACAAGCATGGATGTCACAAAAACCAGGAATAGGCAGGTAATCTTCTTCCAGACATTCATTATGAATTGAAGCCAGCTAGCTAAGAGCTCATGCCACCAGATCAGACTTCTGCAAAACATACCCAACCTGCTGATTAAGTATAAGATTACAAATATTTGGTTCTCACAAAATTAATTATTATATTAATTAGATCAAATCAATGTATAATAAATAGATAAGAGGATGAATGTTTCCAACTTCGGGCGTGGGAAGGAAATGGTAGTGTACCTTTAAAATTATACAATTAGCTAGCTAGAGGTGTACTATATAATTATATTACGTAATTAAGTGGCAAGATGGAGGAATAAAGGGGGATTTATAGGTAGCAAGGGAACAACATTCACCATTAAGAGGCCGGCACTTGTTTCTATAAAAGCATGCAAACGCTACTATATGCTTAACCTATTGCGTTCGTAGAGTGGAGATTTATCCAACCAGCCATGGTTTAGATTTGGATTTGACAATCTGTGGGGGGAGAAGATTACGGAATGTATCATTACGGACTGTATCCTCGAACGAAACTATCACCTTTTTCGTACTTTTAAGAATAATCGATCAAATCCTCCAACTTTCGAAAAACGTTCAATTGAGACCATTAACAAGTTACTCGCCACATCAGCAAGATAGTACGTACTGACGTGGCACCCCAACCAGCAGTTACTTTGATGACGTGACGTACACGTGGAAACCTAATCTGACAATTACTAGATGACATGGCACACGCATGGATCGTCGCGTGTGCGTCACCTCGGTGGATGACCTACTGACATGGCAAGTATCCTGCTGATTGACTCAATTGAAAGTTTTTTCAAAGTTCAGGGATTTTGATCATATTGATTTTTTTAAAAGTATCAGGATCTAATTGACTTTTTCGTAATATTACGAGGATCAAATTGATAGTTTTCTCATTCATTTATAATTAATGGAAAGGTGCAAGGTACGTAGTGTGCGCCCATTCGAAGGTTTACGCTAAGGTGATCACATATCTCCTTATTTGTTCTTCATCAGTGGTGAAGTTTTACAAAACTTTTAAGTAAGGCGGCTAGTGAGTGATGTTTACATGGAGTTAGAGTGTGTTGGGTGACACTCGAATATCCCATCTTTTTTCGCGGATAATTGTATCTTGTTTGCCAAGGGCCGCAAATGTCGATGAGCTTCGCTTGTTGTTGTTAGCAGCAAGAATTTGACGGTTTATGTGACATTTAAGAGGGTTGACCGCAGAAGTTAATGATACGATCATGAAGCTTAATGGTGACATTTATAACGGATTTGTATTTATTAATGTAATTAGTAACGTAATTAAAGCAGGAGGTTACTCAATTTGAGCTAGCCAACATTAATGACGAGTTGTGAAACTGTCGGGTCGGACTGAGTTTTCTCTGACCGAGGGATTAGTCCCTTAAAATTGTGAACGTGTTTGGATTTCGTGATCGTGAATTTCCTCAATTCTTTAGCTCTCTCTCGAGACTGGTGTTTACTTGGCTGGTCATTAATGAAGAGCTCAAATCATGTGATGGTGTGAATTTCTTATTATGTATGTTTGTGTTTGTAACTAGTTTTTATCATTTGTAGTTATGGAAATTGCACACTTTTGGTGTAATACTTTATTTTCATAATTATTTGTAATGTGTTTAGATTAAGACTATTTTGAGCTAAAACAGGTCAAAGATCATCCAAAGGATCAAGATTGAACCTTAAAACATCAAGGAAAGTGCAAGGAGGTAAGAAATATATTGACTTAGAAAACTTGCTCATATACCCGGTCGGGTATAGGCAATACCCGATCGGGTATTTGCTTGATTCAAGTGTCTAAATCAAATTCGGGAACAAATGATCGTGTGGGCAAATTTTGTGAAGAAATGTCACATACCCGATTGGGTATGCCGACATACCCGACCGACTATGTCCAGAAAAGTGGTTTTCTGGGAAATTACCTCAGATACCTGATCGGGTATCCTATATATACCCGGTCGGATAACAGATCCTACCACTCCCAAAAGCCTATAAATACACCCCTTTCCTTCCCTATAAAATCATCAATTCACATATACTCTTAAACTCAGTTTAGAATATCTATTTTTTATATTTTCTAGCATGTTTAGTCTCCAAATGAGGAGCTAAGTGAACCAGTGGTTAATCATTGATGATTTCACAAGTAAGTAACTTCGGGTTATTAATGCACGGTCGTGGTTAATAATCTTAAGAGGGATTAATTGTGTTGGTTAAACCGAAACCGTTGTGTTGAGGTTATCAATCTCAATTGATTTCAAGGAGTTAAGAGATTAAATACTACTATCAACAAGTCGGTATATGACGGTGTTCTATACTTGGCCAATAGTAAGAGTTATTAATGAATGGTCGTTATTAATAACTACCCTCGATGAATTGGAGATACTCCTCGATTGAGTATTCAAGAGGGGATAAGTTATAGACGGGATCAACAAACATATCAATAAGTGGAAACTAGCAAAACCAAGTCTTTGATCTCATTAATTAAAATCATATAAGTCGTTCATCTTAGTGTTTAATTAATTAATTACAAACAATCCCAAAACCCCCCTTTTAATTACTAGTCTCATAAAAGAAAAACATTTTTTCTCCTGTGGATACGAACTCTACTTCACTATACTACGTATTAGTGTAGGTATTGAATTTATTTTGAGACACACACGACTCTAGTGCCGTCATCAGGCTTATGCAATGGTGTGAATTGAGGAGGTTGAAAGGGAGGGTTTAAAAAACGGCAAGGAGGTGGTGCTACTGAATCAACACCGCCTGGAATTCCATTAGTGGCTGCAAGTGGGAGTATTCCTTTGGAGGTGGCTAGACAAAGCTCTTCTCCCTTCCCGATGGCCGGTCAAATCTGAATGACATCTTTGGAGGTGGCGGATCAAACCTGTTCTCCCTTGTTGGTGGCAGGTAATACCAGGGCTTGTGATTCTTTTGTTTCTTTTCGGCTTTTGAACTCTAGGTTTTTATATTTCTGTCTTAGTAGCAAATACAGCGATGCTGTTGAAATAGTCTACCATTGTGTGGAGTTAGCGATCCGGCCCGACTTTCCGGGGCTAGTCACTTCTATGTCTCACTTCAAGTTTGATCTGAGCTATTTCTCTGATTTGTCTATGTTTACTTTCATTATCATTAATATATGAGTGTCTTTCTTTCAAAAAAAATCATAAAGGGACCGAATCATACTTGAATAGCAGCCCCGAAGTGGAATAAACAACCTCCTCCTAGTTTCATGAAAGTGATTTGTGATGCAGTTGTTTTCAAAGAAGGGGTTTGTATGGGAGCTAAGGAGCTATAATCCAAGATGAACACAACGTGCTAGTGATGACAGGAGTCAAAAGAGTGGAGGTGAACTGGGAAGCGAAGATGGCAGAATATGCAGCAGGAGCATATGCACGACAAATAGCGCACCAGGCGGGCGTGCGGAAAATTATACTTGAAAGCAATGCATTAAGATTTATTAAGGCAGCTTCCTCACGTAAGGATGGTACTTCATTAGGATTTTTCTTGAATGAAAATTTTCACTTTTGTTCTCAGTTTGATGTTGTTAAATTTTCACATGTAAAAATAGGAAGTAATTTAGTTGCTCATTTTATGGCAAGAATGATGCCAGGTAATGGTGTAGAACAGATATATGTAAACGACCTACCAGAAAGTATAATTACACCGGTAGAAATAAATTGAAATGAATTAATATGAGCTTCCTTTCAAAAAAAACTTCACGGATGAAACATTTTCAACATCGAGTTAAAAAGCAGCTTTTAAATTTATAAACCTAAATTAAGGTACTGCAGGTTAGTAGGGATCAGGATCCTCTGCCGCGCGGCAGGGTCCATGGCGCAAATCGACGGCAAAGAAGAAAGAAGCAGGGCATTGGGATCGGCAAACAGCGCATTGGGATCAGCAAACAGCGCATCGGAGGGCCATAAATGGCCAGGCACCCTACCTGGCAGCCAAATCCAGGCAGAGAAACCGGATCCGGTTAGTAGGTAACTTATTATATTATATAGTTATATTATATAATTAGCTCTTAGCTCGCTAAAAAACAGGGAGTGGAATTTGTTTGCAAGTGGAATCAGATTCCCTTCAAACTAAAAACGGGCATATGTGTTGGATTGAGTTTCTGGTGCGCACGAATATAAGGGCTACCATCGTTAGAATTGCTTGAATCATCGTTATTTACATCCTCTCATGTGCTCTGTCGGGTCAGAGCATGGAGGACTCTCATGGTTGGGGATTCACCCTTTTGGGGAAGGAAGTTCTAAGCGGGAGCAGCTTATCTTATTCAGGTCTTTTAGGTGATGAAATTAGAGAATTAAAGACAAATTTTGTTAGTGTGTCTTTTGTTCATGTTAGACGATCTGCGAATAGTGCAGCTCATTCGACGACAAGAGCAGCGAGATCTATGTTTAATTATCGGTTCTGGTTATCTGTTCCTCCTTATTTTATCAGTGATGTACTGAACTATATATGGTTTGATTAATAGAAAACTATTATTTTCTTTCCAAAAAAATAACGATACATCAAACATACATCTCGCTGCTCTTGCCATATAAATCAATATAACAAATATAACAAATATAGATTAATTTATTAAGGTAAGCAAATATAATATAGTTGAGGTATTCTTACGCCAGTAAAAATATTTAATAAACTATGGAGTATTTCTTTTGTCCTAGAATGATTTACAAAGTCTACTTTTTATCAAAATAGTTTGATTTTATTCATTATAAAAAGAATATCATCTTTCATTATATATGTGAATTTACATAATGAATAGTTTATGAATATGTAATTTTTAATATTTAAAATTATTTAAATATCAACTCCATGTAAGACTTAACTTTATCATCAATCAAACTTAAAAGCCCAAAGTCTCAAATCAATTTGGGCAGAAGACATATAGGAGGATCTCGGCTACCATCATGATCACCATTTAAATATGTGGAACCTCAACTCTTAAGATTGTATAAGAGTCCAACTCGATCCATAAAGATGGTGAGCGTGGAGTTTGTGGACCCCCTATGGAAATGAATGACATGATCCAGATGAATTGATATTTAAATACTACGAATTACTTCATACTATTGGGTTTACAATATACTTAATTGGTATTTTGTATTTGATTATTGAGCTATGTATGTTCTAGTTTATCCAACAACCATCTGTTTTATTGTGGGAGCAACCCATGGTGAGAATGATACTCACACAACTAAAACATGCGCGAACAGTAACATACTTGAACAATAATTTTGTTTTATTTTAGTAGTAGGGTGATGTAACTCGCGTTAATGAGAATGTAAATTCCGGTCAATTGAAATATAACTTGTC